GATATATATTACAGCAATCAAATGGTGGCATCACCAGCGTTAGTTCCATCACCAAATCCCCAACATGCTACCATGGCCGGACCACAACGATCTGTAGGTATGTTACAAAACTTGAATGTACAGTCATAAATGTGCAAGTTTAATCGTAAACATGAGTAATATTAAATATACTGCATTCTCAAACAGGTATGGTACCATCTCCTAGCAGTTCTTTGAATACGCCCGGAGGTGTAGGAGCGACTCCAAGCCCCCAACAAGAAGATCAAGCATATAGAGATAAAGTTAGACAATTAAGTAAATACATAGAACCACTAAGAAGAATGATTGCTAAGATGAGCAGCGATGGAAGTGAGTAATATCGACTTAAGCATTAATCTTAACACGCATGCAAAAATTTATGTAATTCTGTTATTTATAGATGTTGACAAAATAAGCAAAATGAAGAAGCTTCTAGAAATTTTATTAAACCCCACTAAACGGACGCCGCTAGACACATTATTAAAATGTGAAATAGTTCTAGAAAAGTTAGATTTTAAGCGGGGTGACGCAAGCGTACGGCCTCCAGTAACGACACTGAAAGAACATCATTTCTTTAGTCCGCTTTTGGAAGCAGTGAGCACTCATCTCCAAAGCCCTGTTGTAAATCATACGTTACAACGTACTTTTGGCCCGTGTCTAGAAGCTTTGTTCGGACCAGAAATAAAGTGAGTAATCTGTGAACAATTAGTAAATTTTAAGATACAGTATGTAAAAATAGATACTCTTTATGTACAATCAGAAATTTACCACCGCCATTGAAGAAACAGAAAATAGAAGAATATCCTAGCGAAATACCAGATGTATTACAAGGTGAAATAGCGCGATTGGATCAACGATTCAAGGTAACTAATTTACATAATAATTTATGAGTAATCCTTCTTTTCTGTATAACCGAACTTATCCTTTTGTGCGTATAAATGTTATATAGGTCAGTCTTGATCCCGCGCAACAAACTGGCTCAAAATGTATTCAGTTGATCTGCTGGTTGGATGATCGTCATCTTCCATGTGTTCCACCAGTATCTGTCACTGTTCCTGCCGATTATCCATTGACACCACCGCGTTGTGTGATGGCACCCCATGAATACGCCACGACATTCCTCTCTGCTGTTCAGAAGGCTCTGAACGCTCGCATTACGAAACTTCCTCGACGTTTTTCCGTATCCCAATTATTAGATACATGGGAAATGAGTGTAAGACAAGCTAGCGCACCTTCTCAAATACCTGTTACTCCTACTACCGTATTAATGGGTTTGTAATACGTCCTTGTATACAGTATATTTATAAATTTAAAACAGTTGTGAAATAAATATCTCATCATCTATTATTTTATTTCCTCTCACTCATACGTTATACAACGTATATTACTATACCATACCACCGAGGAATATCTCCTCGGTGACCATACTTTGTCAATTACCATATAAAATTTTTCATAAGCTACCCAAAATGATTCCCGACCCACTTAGCGTGCTGGAGTTTTCTCCCGAATTGGCCGCAAGGTGCAGCACTAGTATGAATAGTGACGAAATCCCGGGCGTGAGAACTCTCATTTTTCTTTCTGTGTATGGATGTTGTTTCTGCTGCGGCGGCTACGATCATTGTGAGAAGTTAAAGGAATTGTTCAAAAATGCCGAGTCAAGAGGTTGTAACTACGAAAGTAGTGGTACATCCTTTAGTTTTATTAAGTGTGGTGGATCATTTTAATCGTATGGGAAAAATTGGCAACCAGAAAAGAGTTGTTGGTGTTCTCTTGGGATGTTGGAGAGCTAAGGGCGTCCTAGACGTATCAAACAGTTTTGCAGGTTAGGCTAAATCTGTTACTATCAATCATATTGCAATTTTGTTAATAACTTTTGAATTATTTATTACTATTTTGACGTTTGTAAATAAAGTGTAATTAAATTTTCTTCAGTAGCTTATAATTTTATTAACTAAAACATGTGTGTACACAAACATAGAAGATTGTTTAAATCTGTTAAATAAGCATTATTATCTTTTTTTATAGTACCTTTTGATGAAGATGATAAGGACAAAAGTGTATGGTTTCTTGATCATGATTATCTTGAAAACATGTATGGAATGTTTAAAAAAGTCAATGGTATGTGCATTCGTCTGCTTATGTGTTGGAAATCAGAAACCAGTATAGCCAATTATTATAGTTTTTAATCCATTTGTATAGCTCGTGAGAAGGTAGTAGGATGGTATCACACTGGACCTAAACTACATCAAAACGATGTTGCGATCAATGAACTGATTAGGAGATACTGTCCTAATTCTGTTCTGGTCATTATTGATGCTAAACCAAAAGATCTTGGTCTTCCAACAGAAGCATATCAAGCTGTTGAAGAAGTGCATGATGTATGTTTCATGTTGTAATTAGTAAATGAGAGTTTTAGTTCGTATTACTTATGTATAATTATTCCAGGATGGCTCTCCAACATCTAAGACCTTTGAGCATATTCCTAGTGAAATCGGTGCAGAAGAAGCAGAAGAAGTAGGTGTAGAACATTTACTGAGAGATATCAAAGATACTACAGTCGGTACTCTTAGTCAAAGGATCACTAATCAACTATTAGGTTTAAAAGGTCTTCATGAACAACTTAGGGAAATTAGAGATTATTTACTACAAGTTGGAAGTGGTAAATTACCTATTAATCATCAAATTGTTTATCAACTACAAGATATTTTCAATTTACTACCTGATATGACACAAACTACCTTTGTCGATTCTTTATACGTGAAAACGAATGATCAAATGTTAGTCGTATATCTCGCTGCTCTTGTTAGATCTATAGTGGCTTTGCACAATTTGATCAATAATAAATTAACCAATCGCGATGCCGAGAAGAAGGAAACAGATAAAAAAGAATTAAAGAAAGATGAGAAGAAGGAAGAGGAGAAAAAAGATGAAAAAGATAAAGCAAAAACTAAAAGCCAGTGAATGAAAGTGAAATTGACACTAATTTGTGTGTTCGAGACTGTTTACATTGCAAAGATTCGCAAAAGATGCAAAGTTTGTTTATACATGTACAAATGTATTTTGTGCTTACAAATTGATTGGTACTTTAAATTAACACAAAAATAAATATAAATGGTCTTGTTCTTAAATCCTCTTGTATAATGTATAGTATACGCATTACATAAAAGATATGATAGTAAGAATGCAGTTACACATTTTTATAAATTAAACACGGACAAAGCATGAGTAGTACGTATATTGCACAATTGCGAAATGTTAAATAATGTTTATGTATCATAGCAGTATGACGTTTCCCGATGATTTTCTTTATTTTCAGTAAGTTGGAAATCAACAACTGCTTCAAACTACCTATAACTTTTACATAATGTATTGATACTAATAAAAATTTCATAATATTTTTATGTACCAATATCATGCAATTATTGTTAACGATATGCTTGAGTGCATATTAGACTTTTCTACATTGTTTGAACTCTAGTATATAATACATCATCAAACAAATATGTTTTTTCAGCGAACTCGCATAAATAATATAACATTGTAATAAAAAAATAATCATTTAAACTTAAAATATATTATTTACTTCTTATTTATTAATATACAAGAATTTTATAAAAAAGTTAAGCCAAGATAAAATGCATGGTAGATCAATTGAGTATGATCTGATTTCCTTTCGTACAAGAGGCGTTAATTTAATCCCATAATACTTTATTCTATTCCCGTTATTCAACTTAATCGCTAAATTACACGCATAAAGTGTACGTATACTGTAATGTAGCGATCAATTACCGTGTATTTGATTACTGATATTTAATCTTTCATATTTTTATATAAGAATATACAAAATAAGACACATTTGGCTAAATAAAGTCCACCGAGCCGCACTTATCTTTTCACCTCCACTATACGCTATACCTACAAAAGGTTCTAAATTGGTATCGTTATAATGTTGAAAGTACCAATTAAAAGGATTGTCTTCAACAATTTCAGCATTCTCATTAGAAAGACCATCTTTATCCAACATCGTTTCTTCATTTTCCATGTACCGTTGAACAGCTTGTGCCACCGATTTTTGTTTCTCCGATTCCACGGAAAGACCGACACGTGGCGATGGAACCTTCGTTATTGTTGGTTTTCCTAGTGGTCGCAAATTTGGTACCGAAGGAGGTACCTGACCTCCAGGAATCAAAAACGCTGACAGGGCTGATGCCTCAGTTTCATGAGTAACTTGAGAAGCAGAAGAGAAATTCTTTTGAATTTCCAAAAGCGGAGTCGAATGGAATGCTGTTCGCTCCGTTACAGTAGAACCGGAGTCATCTGTAATTATTATCTGGTTTAGCAACTAAAACAAAGAAAGAAGTTCGTATGAATTTTACCATTGGATTCTTTTTTAACATTTGTCGCAGTATTTGGTGATCCCTGATTTTCGATCTCTTTAGAATCCCAGTAAGTATGCTTTAATATTTGTGTCGAGGTTTCTTTAAAGGAAGCTTCCTTTGTCGTTTCTGAGACTGTTCTCGGAGTAGTCCAAACGATTCGACTTGCGCTTTCCACTTGTAATTTTCCTTCGTTCTTATGCGACTTTTTATTCGCTTCTAAACTGTCTTCATCATCATTTTTAGTAGACACATAAGTTTCATTTGCTTTTTCAGGTGATTCGTCCGCTGCTGTACTTGAATCCGACGTCCTCGTCGAATTTAAGTCAATACTGTGGAAAATGATCAAATCATTAAACCGTATTACCGTACTACAATTAAGATTTACATGAACTGCATTGTTTTAAATAAAAATATTTCATATAGATATACTTTGCATATTACTTTATTTATTTGATTATAAGTACCTGCTTTTCTTTATGCCAGTCACTCGCAAACGGGAGTCTGTTCCCTTAGTCATCATTATGGATAATTCTTCTCTCTCTTTGGATCCTATTTTGGGCTTGTTCGTTCTGGGATGAGTTTTTTCAATCTTTATCACCGTTCCATTTCCGCTTTTCCATCTCTTTCGCTCCTCCTGTGTATCGTTCGAATCCCGTACCCGAGAGATTTCTTGTTTCTCGTATATCAATCTAGGATCAACGATCGGTATAAACCCACCTTGTCCTCGGGGCAAAGGTACGAAACCACCTCTGTGCACTTCCGGTTCTGTAGGCGGGAATATCCTGTATCGGCTTCTTCCTGGTCGGTCTGAATTTTTTCTTTCGGACTTTCGTCCTGAGTTTCCCCACAGATTGAAATTAAGGTTCGGCAAAGGTACTCCAAAAAATGTGAAACCTGAACTGCTAGGGGACGGAGGCACTGAAGTGGTCTTTTTTATGGGTACGGTGTTGTTCAGTGGAAATGGAGGCCTCTCCGTTGACTCAACAACTTTCGTGGTGTTCGTTGGTACCGTACTTGCAAACTGCTGACTCTGAGTCGGCGCGATAGTTGTGTTTAATTTATCATTTTTACTATCTTGATAATCTGCATACTCGTAAAAGTAATCAGAATCTGGGAAATTAGGATTTCGCGTCGAGGAATCCTTTAAACTCATACGAAGCGGTACCATTTCCGTTGCTCCGAGTACTATCAATAAATGTATTAAATATTTCATGTAATTTGTTAAATATTTTGTTGATGGATGCAAATGATTAATTATGACAGGCAGCAAAATTGAATGGATGAATACTGTATAATGTATAGTATACGCATTACATAAAAGATATGATAGTAAGAATGCAGTTACACATTTTTATAAATTAAACACGGACAAAGCATGAGTAGTACGTATATTGCACAATTGCGAAATGTTAAATAATGTTTATGTATCATAGCAGTATGACGTTTCCCGATGATTTTCTTTATTTTCAGTAAGTTGGAAATCAACAACTGCTTCAAACTACCTATAACTTTTACATAATGTATTGATACTAATAAAAATTTCATAATATTTTTATGTACCAATATCATGCAATTATTGTTAACGATATGCTTGAGTGCATATTAGACTTTTCTACATTGTTTGAACTCTAGTATATAATACATCATCAAACAAATATGTTTTTTCAGCGAACTCGCATAAATAATATAACATTGTAATAAAAAAATAATCATTTAAACTTAAAATATATTATTTACTTCTTATTTATTAATATACAAGAATTTTATAAAAAAGTTAAGCCAAGATAAAATGCATGGTAGATCAATTGAGTATGATCTGATTTCCTTTCGTACAAGAGGCGTTAATTTAATCCCATAATACTTTATTCTATTCCCGTTATTCAACTTAATCGCTAAATTACACGCATAAAGTGTACGTATACTGTAATGTAGCGATCAATTACCGTGTATTTGATTACTGATATTTAATCTTTCATATTTTTATATAAGAATATACAAAATAAGACACATTTGGCTAAATAAAGTCCACCGAGCCGCACTTATCTTTTCACCTCCACTATACGCTATACCTACAAAAGGTTCTAAATTGGTATCGTTATAATGTTGAAAGTACCAATTAAAAGGATTGTCTTCAACAATTTCAGCATTCTCATTAGAAAGACCATCTTTATCCAACATCGTTTCTTCATTTTCCATGTACCGTTGAACAGCTTGTGCCACCGATTTTTGTTTCTCCGATTCCACGGAAAGACCGACACGTGGCGATGGAACCTTCGTTATTGTTGGTTTTCCTAGTGGTCGCAAATTTGGTACCGAAGGAGGTACCTGACCTCCAGGAATCAAAAACGCTGACAGGGCTGATGCCTCAGTTTCATGAGTAACTTGAGAAGCAGAAGAGAAATTCTTTTGAATTTCCAAAAGCGGAGTCGAATGGAATGCTGTTCGCTCCGTTACAGTAGAACCGGAGTCATCTGTAATTATTATCTGGTTTAGCAACTAAAACAAAGAAAGAAGTTCGTATGAATTTTACCATTGGATTCTTTTTTAACATTTGTCGCAGTATTTGGTGATCCCTGATTTTCGATCTCTTTAGAATCCCAGTAAGTATGCTTTAATATTTGTGTCGAGGTTTCTTTAAAGGAAGCTTCCTTTGTCGTTTCTGAGACTGTTCTCGGAGTAGTCCAAACGATTCGACTTGCGCTTTCCACTTGTAATTTTCCTTCGTTCTTATGCGACTTTTTATTCGCTTCTAAACTGTCTTCATCATCATTTTTAGTAGACACATAAGTTTCATTTGCTTTTTCAGGTGATTCGTCCGCTGCTGTACTTGAATCCGACGTCCTCGTCGAATTTAAGTCAATACTGTGGAAAATGATCAAATCATTAAACCGTATTACCGTACTACAATTAAGATTTACATGAAC